GACCAAGGGCTACCGTTTGTAGAGTCTAAGGGGGAAAAAACAGCCTTTCCCACTCCGTACGGTTTGCACCAGTTCACACTTCCATTCAGCTCGTTTGGAGCCCCAGCCACCTTCCAACGCCTCATGGATTGGGTCCTGTGCCCGCATGCAGTTTATGCCACCACCTACTTGGATGATGCTATCATCCACTGTAACACCTGAGTGGAGCGTGTGCAGCTAATGCTTGTGGCCCTGGAGTCCCTAAGGCAGGGGGACTGCCTTAGGGACAAGGGAGCCTCGGGGAGTTCAAGGAGAAAAAGCCTACTCTGTAATTAGGAGGTAGCGAACAAGAAGAAATTGTTCAAGTGGCCACTCATTCAATGATGAGTATGTACACATTATGGACAGGTAGGAACTCTGGTTTGAGCGGGGAGTCAAGGAGGGCATTTACGTGAAAAGGAAAAGACCATCTCTAAATCCAGGAGGGGGCCTCCTGGATCACTGGTCTTTGATTAGTGGTTGTTGATCAATGGACATGACAATTTGCATATTAATGATCAAGAAACTGATGCCACAGCTCATTGTTCATTCACTGGGATAGTTTCAGTCATTGGGGAAAGGTACTGTTTATAAGGTTGGGGAAACCTGCAGTCAGCTGACACTGAAGAAGTCACGTGGATGAGTGACGAAATGTTTCTCCCATTGAAAACGCTATGTTGGGGACGTTGACAGAATTGGGGCCAGTATATGAAACCACCTGCCTTAGACTGATCAGTATACCAGATGAATTATCTGAAACTGTTAATACTGTCTGACCATTTTTATTGGTGCACCATGAGTACCAAAATTTTGTGGGCTTAACACTAATTATGAAGACTAGAAAAGCCAGATTAGTGCAATGCTCTGTGCTCAAAAATGGTCTATAGAACAGCAGTGTCATTTTGTGCTGAGTGCGTTTGGAGGAGAACCACTGTGCAAATTCTTATTTTGGAGCAAGTGGAACAGGATACACCAGATAAGATCTTTCTTTAACTTAAAGAACTGTATGGGGATACAACAGCTGTGGGTTCCCTGTGTGCCATGTTTTACGATTGCAGACAAAGACCAAAAGAGCTTATTAAAAGGTTTACTTTATGTTTAAGAGAGCTAGGTCATCGCTTGCAGATAAAAGAGCCACAAGACCCTCGGCGTGCAGACCTGCACATGATCAGTTTGTCTAGGGCCTCAGAGAGAATGAGATCCAATGAGATCTACGGCATCTGTTAAGGCATGATCCTAATCTTTCATTCGAACAGGTGCATAAGATCTCAAAAATACTCTTCAGGAGGAGCTGAGGGAATTTGCTCGACCAGCACCAATTCCACAGATATGCCAAGCTCCCGGAAGGGAGAGAGAAAGGCAGGACTTTAGTCCCTGTTGGTTTCAGGAGATGTGCTGAAGTTTCAGAGCCACTCCAAGAGACAAAGCAAATTTCATTGCCAGTAGAACATCCAGGGCATGAGTGAGATCAACAAGGGCAAGTAAGTGTGGAATCAGTGGACACGTGGCAAGGGAGTGTTGGGGAGCTCCATCCAAGATGGCTTTAAATGATTAATTCCAGTCACTATGGACCAGGTGACTGGGAAGGATGACAATGGTCCAGTCCAGATAAACCACTCTCAATTTTAGGGGCATTTTTAGAGGCATTTGTTGATGGTAAGGAAGTGATATTTTTGTTAGATACTGGTTTTAATGTAACAATAATGCCTGAAGCCTGTTTTAAGAGGTTGTTTGGAGATCATGAACCAGGAAATGAAAGAGATCTCAACTGGTTAAAGTGGAAAACAGCAAATGGATTAGCAATTCCTTATGTGGGCTATGTTTTAGCCGAAGTACAGATGGGAGATATTACTCTGAAGGATATGGGAATTGTGATGACAATAATAATCCAAATGCACTGCCTATTTTAGGAATGAATGTCATTGTTCCATGCTGGGATATGCTTTTCTCAAAGCCTCAGATACAGATGCTGTTGGATCCAATGTAAACACTCAACAAGTATGGGCAGCAGCTTTTCAGGACTGTCAGAGAATTCTGCCTGCAATAGGACTCTTCGACCAGCTTATCGCCACCCAGTGGTAATCCCTGGACAGAGTGAGCAGGTGATTTGGGTCAGGGCCCCACAAACACTAGGGAAAGAGCAATGTATTTTGGTGGAACCACTTGAGGGGCTTAGTACAGTTGCTGTTGCTCGATCTCTAGGAACTGTCTGTAGAGACAGAGTCCCCATCGAAGTAAGGAATCGCAACCATTTTTTTTATATTATTGTACGAGGTTATGAGGCCTTTGCTATATTCTCTACTGAAAACGTTGACATTCAGGAACCTTTTGAAATTACTTTTGAGCAAAACAGGCCAGGTATTGCTGAAGTTGGTGTCCACCAACTACTAACTGGGCTAGTAATGCAGCTGATATTGAAGTTATGACACAAGGGAATTCAAACCTATCTACAGAGGAGCAAGACAAGCTAAGATGCTTGCTTGAATCGAAGAGATCTTCACGGTGCTGACTAAATCAAAATACTATTCTATCTTTGATTTAGCTAGTGGATTTAATATCATGCAATCCCAACACCAGTCAAAATCAAGTAGAATATGCACAGAGCATAGAACAAGACATCTTAGCATCATGCTCATCACTGTCGTCTCTATTCAGCTCAAGCAGCTGCACTGGTAGCATTGACACAAGCATGTGAAATTGCTAAGGTCCAAATAATCACTTTATCTGATTCCAGATATGCGGTGATAAATTATTTTGTCACATTACGGAAACAATAGTTTTTAACTAATTCAGAGAAATCCACTGCACATCAAACTGTACAATCTGTTGTGCCAAATGCACCATTACAGACTTTTTTATTCTCATCCTTTGGATAGCGTATCCTGGAATTGGAGGCCAGGGAACCCCTGCACATGTTTGTATATCTTGACGAAGCGGGATTCAATCTCGCAAAAGGCAGACGGCGTGGACGAAAGAGCCACCATTGATGTCCCAGGCCAACGAGGAGGAAATATTACAATGTGTGCAGCAATCTCAGAAAATGGCGTTCACACCCATATTCCTCGTATTGGTGCATACAATACACAACACCTGTTGGCTTTTCTGGATGCTCTTTATAGGGACCTAATCCCACAAAATGAAAGGGATGATCCTGGTGACAATCGGACAATGTATGTAGTGGTTTGGGATAATGTTAGCTTCCATCACTCTGCTGTAGTCAGGCAGTTGTTTGCAGCACACGACAGGATGCTTATGGAGTTTCTTCCTCCTTACACTCCATTCCTAAATCCAATTGAGGAGTTTTTCTCTTCCTGGAGGTGGAAGGTATATGACAGGCATCCACATACCCAAATGACCCTGCTAGCAGCTATGGATGCAGCTTGTGATGACATCACAGCAGAGTCCTGCAGAGGGTGGATTCAACACTCCAGAAGATGCTTTCCCCGATGCATCGATAGAGCTGACATTCGCTGTGATGTTGATGCAAATATGTGGGCAGACAGATGGGAGCGTCTAGATATCAATGATTGATATGCAGCAGTGTCTGGTTTTTTTTTTTGTTTTGTTTTTGTTTCGTTTCATGACTACTGCAGTAAGGTTTACTGTCTAAGTGAGTTTATGTTTGCTGTAAAATGTTTGATTTACTGTATTTCCCCAGTTGCACAATGCTGTGAACAGTTTCAATTAAATATTATCAAGAGTGCATATGAAGTGTCTTGATTTTCCTTTACAATTTATGGTTTTCAACATGCCATGGACATGTCATTGGGAAGCACCTACAAAGAAATCCGTCACAATGAGAACATGTTCAAACCATTTGATTTTGTGACCAAAGGTGCTGGTGTAGTGACTTGTAATTGTGACAGACCCGACACTTTGATATAAGTACTTGCTTTTGATGGATATATTATCTGTTTTGATTAAGGGACTTGCTTTTGAAGCATTGACTACTTATTTTGAACAACTGACTTTTCTTTTTGATGAAGTGACTCACTTTTGCAAGTTATCCACCATGTTTTGCAGTTTGCACTAATTGTTTTGAGAAGAGCCTTAGTAGTGGTGCAGAGATCAATTCTGTGAGAAATGCACCAAAGCAAATGAGGAAAAACTGTAAAAAAAAAAAGGCACTGTTAAGGAGTTTTTACTGTTTTATTTGATTATGCTTCAAATGTTATGTTATACTTATGTTCACATATTTCACCAGACAGTTTTCTGTTGAAACAAGAAGCTGACTCTGTGACCTTTACCGCAAGAGATCAGTACAGAAATACACATCCGCAGAAGTTGACTTGCAGTATCTTATTCTTAGAAATTGACTTGTAGCACACACACTCCGTGACACACACAGCTTACACACAGACAGCATCAGGACCTGCATAACAGGAAATGTGATTATATTTGCATATTGACGATGTAACCTAAAAAAAATAAACGAATACTGCAGTTCCGTGTGATTGCTCTCTGAGTATTTCACCCGTGCAGTACGTTAACTATCTCGAGTGTCTCAGTGTTTATTCACCTGACTGTTAACTGTAAATCTCTGACAGGCACAGACCTCCAAAGTGGCCTGCAGAGTTACACTCTGTGTCGCCCACAAGGGAGCAGCAATGGAACACAGACAAAACCTGTAATCGGCCTGGCTGGTGTGACCCAAAAGGTTATAATACTTTTAAGTTATTGTAGGTACTGACGAGGCTTTTCTAATCATGTTTGTATATGTTAAGCCTTTGACTCTCCAAACATATTTTCTTTTAGCTTCAACCCTTACTATAGTAAATTGTGAGCTTAAAAACAAGTGTGGTTTTGGCAATATATTAATTTGTAACAGTACTATAGCACCACATGAATTTTACAAAACCACTGAATGGATAATAATCAGGTTTCATTCAGGGGACATTCGCACCTTTCAAAAATCTTTTTAAAGAAAATGTTTTACACTTTGACCAGTCGGAAGTAGTTGGTTTGTAAATGAGGTGTGGCTGTCAGCAGTAGCGTGTACTGACAGCCTAGAACCCACAAACACGTGAACGCACCCTATGCAAAGCTGGTTGGAGAGTTCTCCGCCGTAAAGAACGTCTTTATCGCAGGGAAGCAGCAACAGTAAGAAACATTTCTTTTTCCTGTACTACTGTCACATATCTTCTGAAAAAGTGCAGGCTGCTGGTTATATATATATATATGATTTTCTTTCATTTCCCTTTGTAATGGGGCTACAATGTGTGCGAATATGTTGTGCTAAATAGTTTTAATTGTCTAAGAAAATATGAAACGGAGCATTCTCATTTTGCCAAAAACACTAACTAACATTTTTGAATGATCGTTTAGCCCCCAAGTTTATTTATCAAAAAAAGAAAAAAACAAAACGCGTTGTGGTGTACCAGGATCTAGTTAACTTTGAGCTGATTTGACTAAGGCTCTTGCCAGCACTGGGTTTTGCCTTCAGAGCTTCGTAGATTCAGCGAGGTTCTAGAAACATTCCTCAAACGACCATGATTTGAACTTCCTGTTCCACTGCATTCCAACGATTTTCTGTAAAATCTGTTGCGTCAAGTGACTCAGTGATCAACAAGAACAGCAAGCTGTTTTTAAAGCTGCCTTGCCTGGTTATAAGTACTGCAAATAAGCTACCAAGAGGTAAATAAATATAAAATAATTAGACAGCATCCCATTTCGGTAAGATGTTTTAATATATGTTTTAATATAAAATATTAATTTAATACAAGATATTACGTTTTCAGCTGGATAAATTAAAAGAAAGAAAATTATCTAGAAT